TTAAAAAAGTTTCTAATTATGAAACTTTTTAAGACCGCGAAATGTCAATTCACACAGCATCGTACCTGGCCTTTTACCACCGCTCCTCATGAAATGAACAACATGGCCCGCATCCATTACAACATTTATGGACTCTGTATGATATCTCTTTAATGGCATAGAAAAATATGTGATTTTCTTTACGCGGAACGCATGCACCTTTCTTTGTATACGTCAACGAATGTGTCAGTGAAATAGATTGCGATATTGCCGTGCTTGGTATTGATATGGAACTTTGGAGAGTCATCCACAACAAAGCCGACGAAAAGCATTTGAGGCCTAACTTAGGCCTACTCGAGCAAGGGTCGGATCACCGGTGTTCGACGTTTAATGTGGGCAAGTGCTACTTTCCGCTTGTCTGCGGAACCAGGTCTTCAAAATGCAGGGTTAACTGTCTACTTAACATGCTAATGCGAAAATTCCGCACTCAGAAGGACTTAGGCGTGTAGATCACGACTTCCTCTAAACCACCGCCGCACCGTCAATGTAGGCAAATCCACAATGTCAGCCCTGAAAATTGTCAAGCCGGATTTCATCACTTTTGGTGAAGACTGCTTCGTCAAAGTCTTTCGAAAATTTCTGCGGCCGTAACTGGAGCTTGTTATCTAAACTTGGAGACGATGGGTCGCTAAGGACCTCGGCACCAACGGAAAAGTTCAAAGGCGTTCACCCAAATTCGTAACTGAGCAAGCCAGCTTTCCCTGTGAAACATGATTATTTAACCTCAATCTCTGTCTTTTAGGTCGCAAACGACCAGGAGGCGGCCTTAAATATTCCGCATTATGCGCGGTCACGGCCGCTGTCTTGTACCTGGCGACTTCTTCGAGTTGGCAACTACAACAAGCATTGGAGGACATCCACTCAAACTACGCGTGACTGTGACCATGCTGGACACGCGGAGGCCTGTAGTCCTCTGCCTGCAGACGTCGGTATGTGAACATCTGTAGACCCTTTTAAGAAGAAGCTGGACCAGTAAGGCAGTACGCATCATACTACATATAGCGTATAAATAATACGGACCTGCTATTCGACCGATGACGCCTTGTTGCTGTGCCTTACAAGTCTGCTGCTCATACGTATACTACTGTGCATGTTTCAGTACCATCTGTTTGTAGAATTGCATGACTGTTTCTAAGTCAGAGCACAAATGCTGACGTTTTCATTGGCGCTTGGAGACAAATTACATCGTGTTAATTTCTTTGTGGACTACATGTCCTTGAACGGACTATTTTACTGCATGCATACTAACTAATGCTCATATACTAGTCGCCATAAGGCGGCCTTTGGGGCTCTAGATCGAGCTCCAGAGCGCAACGGAACGAGCGTATTCCGTAAACCCAGTCGGTGGACGCATTCGGACGCTTGTCGGTTGATACAACGACTGTGTCCCAAACTATCTAGGACGATAATCTCACCTCTCAGTATTTCATTTCATCCGATGGTGCGTTGGTTCAATCAGCTCGAAAATTCACAAGTACGGTTCGATTTTTTCGAAGGGCCCGGAGCCGGATGTGGTTGGCCGACGACGACTCTCCGTCAGAAACGGCCATTCCAGTCCAACTTGTCCCTGTTTTAAGTCAGCCCCTGCACATGCATGTATATATCCTACCAGTAATGAGCAATTATCCAATCAGACAAGATGCGTATGGATGGCAAAGGTCACGAATGGGCAACCAACTGCCAGGCCAAATTCGGCCAGGATATAATAGCAGGGGGGGCACTTGATCGGTGTTCGTCCATTTCTGCCGGTCTTATAAATACGTAGACTGCGACCCCAGGAAAACCCTGTTTGACATAAGCGAGGAGAGCCTGAATCTATTGAGGAGTCCACAGGCATCTGAAAACGGTTGAAGACAAATGAAACCACAAGATACTGTATTAACGAGGCCTATGGTTCACCAGAAACTACAAGCCAAACGTTCTTCCACGGCCACTCGTGACGCTGAAAGACACGACTAAATATAAACTGCCTAAATGGCTCACCAAGCATCTGAAGAGGCTGATAGAGAGCTCAGAATGCACAGCCATATCCTCAATGCACTTCCTGAAAAACCTCAAAACCATCGCGAAATCCCTCGGCGAAATGATTGTGTCCTTTGAAGTCATGTCTCTGTTCACTTTCATTCTTGAAAAAATGGTCACGAGGGGCGTCAATAACCTACTGGAAAAAAATTACCATGAAGAGACAAAGTCCTTTGAAAGGACACGCGTGATAGAACTACTGAACTACTGATAAGGCACCTACTTTAGGTTAAAATGCCACAGTTGCAAGCAAATCCAGGGACCCTGGATGGGATCTCGGATACCCGGCTGAGGCGGGTATCTGGATGCGTTACGTGGATGAGACACCATCATACACCGAGATGCGAGAGAGATCTTTAAAACGGAATTGAACTCAATTTCTTTGTCAAATTGATTTATAATGGAGAATGAATAGAACAGAAAGCTTCCGCTCCTTGATGTCCAGGTGTCGAGGCAGGGAAATGGAGCCCTTTAGACTGCTGTCTTTCCATAAGGGACTAACAAAGGGAAAATCCTCTATTACAATAGCAACTATTCCCAGTCGCATAAGCGAAATTGTGTCTGGTCATTTTTCGTCACATTAGTACACAATACAGCACAGATTCCGGGGAGCTGTCAGAGCGTAAACACCTACGGCAAATTTTACTCTTCAATGGATGCCCACGTAGATTCATAAATAGGTACTTGTACCAAAGGCAAGCGACAACTGACGGTGAGCAAAAGCAAAAACTGAAACCCTTTGTGTTTTGTCCTATATGGAGAACGTCTCCAAAGTCACTGCGTGCATGCTAAGACCGCTCAACGTGGACCTTGGACGCCGAACGGAGGCCATTACCCACTGCCTGCTCATGAGGCTCAAGAGTCGACTGTTACATTACCATGCCAACTGTCTGGACTGCCCGGACAACTTTTGCGGCTTGCCCTACAAAACACTAATAACGCGCATGCACGAAAATGCTCTTAATGTGAGGCAGAAAGAATGGCAGCGACCTTTGAGGGAAGAGACCGAATACCGTTGTAGTCCATTAGATCAACCTAAGAACTCAAGAGACATGGCTCCTAGGACATATTTAGCTGGATCCATGATGACACTTAACTGATGAAATCGGTCGAAAAGTAGGGTAAGGTGTTGAGGATGTTCATCAGCATTCCGGCTGGCGACAAAGACATCGTCGACATAAGAATAAACAAATGGAAGGCCACATAGAGCACGGGCAATGAAATGTTAGAAAGTCTTTGAGGTATTTCGAAAACTAAACGGCATACGAAGAAATTTAAACAAGCCAAAAGGGTTCGTCACTGCCGTTTGGCGAATGTCTTCTGCCGCAATTGGAATTTGATGAAAAGCCCGGACCAAATCGATCTTCGAAGAAACGGCTTTTCCAAAGAGAAATCAGGCAATGTCCTGAATGTGAGGAATCGGATACCGATCGGGCATAATAATCTTGTTCAGAGCTTTAGGACGCCAATCATCCGTTTGTGGTTTAGTAACCAATTGCAAGGGAGATGCTCAGGGACTGCCAGACTGTCAAGTAATCCCCAGTTGCAACATTTGGTCAAATTCAGGCCTAGCAGCCGCAAGACGGGTGGGAGCAAGAAGGCGGGGACGAGGGAAAATAGGAGGACTAGTCGTTTTTATGTGAGGAACAAGATCACGAGACAATCAGCAGTCACAAAGGTGGGGCATAGTGAGAGTAGGATACTTTGCCAGAAGTTTGCGAAATTGATGGTCGGGGTTAGAGTCAAGGAGAGACCGACAGTTGGAAGCTGGGGATGGGTGAAAACCGTTGACGGAGAAGGCTGTGGTGCGATCATAAATGCCTGCTAGCAACCAGATGGTCGAAAGCGGCTGGAAAGTCGTCACGGATGATAGTATCCGTATCAGTTTATTAAGGGAAATATAGGCGAGCGCCTTTGAACTCCCTATGAATTACAAGTCGTCTGAGAAAAACATTGATAAGTGGGAAGGTGAAAAAGGGATTTTGTTCATACTCGCGGATAGCTGACAGCTAGTAGAAAAAGAGTAATCATTAACGGTTGCTTGCTAATTACAAGTAGTATAAACACGCATAAGTTGTGCCAGGTTATGTGAGTGGATGTGAGGATGGTAACTGGGAGGCTTGATGCGCGTCAAGTCTACACTTGAAGGAATTCACACAGGAGGAGATTACAACATCGGTAAGCAGAGCATTCCACGCTGCAACCACTCTGTTACTGAAAAAGAACTTTCCTCCATTGATTCTTGATTTCCCTGCGCGTAGTTTTAGGGGATGGCGTGTTAACGTGGGTGAAATAATCAGTGGGATCTAAACAATGGTCTAGGCCGTTGATAATGCGAAACTTTAGTATAAGGTCACCACGTAATTGCCTGTAGGGAAGGGGAAAAAGGTTGAGAGTTGACAGTCTAGTTTCCAAGGGCAGTGCTCCCAGACCTTGTGTCATTTTGGTCATCCGTCTCTGGACCTTCTCCAACACGGTATAATTCTTGGCAGTCCAAGGTCTCCACGCCTGTATGGCGTATTCTAGATGAGGTCGCACGAAGGTGCCAAATATTTTGGAAAAGCAGTCAGGGTCAAATCCCAAAAATTCTCGTCTAATGAGTTGCAATGTGGCCGTAGCCGATTTAGCCGCCTTCGCGCAGTGCAGTGTTGGTTTGAGTGAAGATGTAATCCATACACCAAGGTCCTTCTGACTGTCAACCTGTTGCAGTGGTGTGCCGTTTAGAAAGTAGGTCCTGGGGCTGGGGGCTCTGAAGCCGCCGAGTTGAAGAAAGTTACACTTGCTTATATTGAAGGGCATAAGCCAGCGCTTCGACCAGTCTTCGAGCCTGTTCAAGTTTGCTTGAAGGTGGTCTGCGTCTGCCGCCTTGTGAATAACTTTCCACAATTTTTTATCGTCGGCAAAACAGGATGGCATCACATTCTAGGTCCTTGACGCAGTCATTCACGAAGACGAGGAATATCGTGGGACCTAAGACTGAGCCCTGTGGGGCTCTGGATCCATACAAGAAGGCGTCCACGAATTCCAGCGTTGAGCATTTTGTACAGGAGACGTTGGTGGGGAGCGCTGTCGAAAGCCTTTTTGAAGTCGATGTAGATGGCGTGCACCACATTGCCTTCATCGCGTGCTTTGGTCCAGCGTTTGAGCGTAAAGAGCAGACTCGTGAGGCAGGACCTACCACTTCGAAAACCGTGTTGGGCATCGGAGAGGAGGTGGTGCTGCTCGATGAACTGCTTCAAGGCCTTATTAATGATCTTCTCCATGATGTTGCAGCAGATGGAGGTAAGACTCACTGGCCTGTAGTTGTTCGCAGCCGCATGACTTCCACCCTTAAAAAGCGGAGTGATGGTAGCGGACTTCCAGTCAGAGGGCAGGCATCCAGTAACAAATGACGTTTGGAAGATCAAGGCTAACGGCTTGGACATTTCGGGAGCTAGCCTCTTCAGCAACTTGGCCGGGATTGCATCAGGGCCTGGGGAGGTCGATTCTTTTAGGTTTAGTAACTCATTCCGAACAATTGTTTCGGTGAAGAAGACGGCTTCGAGGGTAGGCGTTTCTTCGTCTTCATAAGCAGGTGAGAATAAAATCAGGTTCACTTGTCACGACAGACCGGAAGAACTGAGAGAGATGTTCAGCCTTATCCTTGTCATCGGAGATTTCCGCACCCTCAGCCGTTCGCAGCAGTGGGACGGGATCTTTGTTCCGTGTGCTCTGTCTTATGTAGCTGTAAAGGATTTTGGGATTAACCATGGCACGGTTCAAAATATTCTTTTCAAAGGCTGTCCGATCTCTGGCGATGAGAATTTTGACCCGATTTCTCTGTAACTTATAACTGCCTAGGGATTCTGGCGTCCGATCCGTCAAAGATCTTTTCCATAGCTTCCTCTTCTTGTTAACTTCGTTCTTTAAGGACGTAGTCAACCAGTGAGGTCTATTTGTTAGTCTTCTGTGCATGATTGGGCAGTGGTTGGAGGTGAGGTTGTGGGCTAACTCTCTGAACTGACACCAAGCCTCTTCGACATCGCCGGAGAGAGTGGATGCCCAGTCGATAGGACTAAGATCCTTTTTCATCTGTTCGAAATCGCTGCGCCAAATATTAGGTCGGGAATCTAGCGGTTGTACAGGCTGGGAGAATAAGGTGTATTCCCACATGAGAACTACATGGTCACTCTGACCCAAAGGGGGGAGGCAATTCACAACGTCGATGTTGTCAGACGACTTGGTGAACACAAGACCGAGGCAGTTGATTTATTGGCCCTCTCAAACTCCCATTGGAAACATTACGTGGTGGGTGAGAAGCAGGTTGTCGGAGGTACGCAGTAACTGCTGGTCAAATGCTGCTTCAGAGCAGTCGGCTGAGGCCGAGCTCCAGTTTATGTGAGGTGCATTAAAATCTCCGACCATGAGAGTAGTCAGTCGCGTTGAAAATAATCTGACCTCCTCCAGCAGTTGGGCATCAGCGTCAGAGTCATTTCTCGGGGGCGATATACAGTCAAGATATCGAGACTTTGAGAGCCCCGTGCCCTTATGGTTAGCCATAATGCTTCGGTACTACAAGTCAGTTGGGCTGTTTTTTCTGAAACGTACAAGCCATTCTTAACAAATGTTACTATGCCTCCACCCCTTCTGTTCTCTCAGTCTCGGCGAAACAGTTGAAATCCAGGGAGAATGACCTCTCTATCACCAACTTGTTCGGATAACCATGTTTCTGTTATTGAGATAACGTCTGGATGGCGGTCGTAGGTATGGATACGGAGTTCGTTCAGTTTTGAAAGTACACTTTGCGCGTTTATATACATGAATATTAGTTTCGAGTTCACGCGAGATTTGTTTCCAACCCAGACAGGGGCTATAGGGGTAGCTGTGCGGTCATTCGGATCGGCTTGATCCAGAGTGGAGCGGAATGCCGTTTGACAATCCGGTTTTTGTAGATTGTCAAGTTTTGTTCTCTGGTGGCTTGCTGTGTTCTCAATTCTAAGACAAGTTCGCGGCGCTTCATTCTCTCGGCGGGTGAGTAGTTCGGCTGAAAAAACACTCTTTTATGGGAATGCTTCAATCGAAAACGCCTGGAAATGATTAGTTTCGCCTGCTCATTGCTAACTAGGACGATTTTTAGGGGTCTTGGTCGCGTCTGCGGAACGGCATTTGTACGGCTACCAAGACGAAATGCCTATAAGACTGTGACATCTTCTGTTGGGAGTTTCTGGAAGTGCTCTAAGCCAGCAGAGACTCGTTCCCTGGGGGTACTGGCGGAGGACTCTATGAGGCCCTGAATTGTGATGCAGTGGTCCTTGGTAAGCATTCCTCTGTTTTCTGCGATGTGTACGTCGTTGGCTGGCCCTATGGCCTCGTCGAAGTGGACTGGAGAAAAGGAGGGGCTGTCATATTGGTATGAATAAATTATATATAAATAAATAAATTTTAATTTAATGCCAGTTTACAGGCATTGTCAAGGGAAGCGATTAAACACAAATCCGACCAGCAGTGAAAAAAAAACTCCTGAGATTAAGGCATAAAAATATAGTTGATGGTGGTTTTTGTGGTTTGGAGGGCTCAGGAGAAAAAAAACTGTCGGCGGTGGTAGAATATCGAGACGTCAAGAAGGGGGGAGGTTGCACGGTATCGGAGATTATCGGACGTCAAATTCCTTTCATGAAGTTGGGGATAGTCAAAGTAGAGGCGTTGAGGAACAGCTGGTGAGACCGGCCATAGTGTTCAGAGACCACAAACGCCAT